CTGAAGACACCCACACCATAAAGCAGAAGCTGGCCCTCCGATTGAGTGAGAGGAAAAAGGTGATCGACGAGCAGGCGTTCTTGAGCCCGGGCAGCAAAGGGAGCACCGAATCTGGGTACTTCTCACGCTCCGAGAGCGCCGAGCAGCAGGTCAGCCCCCCAAACACCAACGCCAGGTCCTATGCGGAGATCATCTTTGGCAAGTGCGGGCGGATCGGGCAGCGGCCCGCCGTGCTGACTGCCACTTCCACCCAGCCCCTCCTGCCCCTGTCCACCGAAGACAAGCCCAGCCTGGTGCCTCTGTCCGTGCCCCGGACACAGGTGATTGAGCACATCACCAAGCTCATCACCATCAACGAGGCCGTGGTGGACACCAGCGAGATAGACAGCGTGAAGCCCAGGAGGAGCTCACTGTCACGGCGCAGCAGCATGGAGTCACCCAAATCCAGCCTCTACCGAGAGCCCCTGTCATCATCCCACAGCGAGAAAACGAAGCCCGAACAATCACTGCTGAGCCTCCAGCACCCGCCCAGCACCACTCCCCCTGTGCCTCTGCTGAGAAGCCACTCAATGCCTTCTGCCACCTGCACCCTCAGTACCCCCCACCACACCTTCCGAGGCAGCTACTCCTTCGACGACCACGTCGCCGACTCGGAAGCCCTGAGCCGCAGCAGTCAACTGTTTACCTCCCACCCCCGGATGCTCAAGCGCCAGCCGGCCATCGAACTACCTTTGGGCGGGGAGTACAGTTCCGAGGAGGCAGGGCCGAGCAGCAAAGACGCAGCCTCCAAACCCACGGATGAACCGGAACCCAGGGAAAGCGACCTCACCAAAAAGACCAAGAAGGGTTTGAAAACGAAAGGGGTGATCTATGAATGTAACATATGTGGTGCTCGGTACAAGAAAAGGGACAACTACGAAGCCCATAAAAAATACTACTGCTCAGAGCTTCAGATGGCAAAGCCCATCTCTGCAGGTGCTCACACGTCTCCGGAAGCCGAAAGGAGCCAGGCCGAGCATGAGCCCTGGTCCCAGATGATGCATTACAAACTGGGGACCACCTTGGAGCTCACTCCACTGAGAAAGAGGAGGAAGGAGAAGAGCCTCGGGGACGAGGAGGAGCCGCCTGCCCTTGAGTCCACAAAGAGTCAGTTTGGCAGCCCCGGGCCATCCGAGGCTGCTCGGAATCTTCCCTTGGAATCCACCAAGTCACCAGCAGAACCGAGCAAGTCGGTGCCCTCCCTGGAGGGATCTGCGGGCTTCCAGCCAAGGACTCCCAAGCCAGGGTCCGGCTCAGAATCAGGGAAGGAGAGGAGAACCACATCCAAAGAAATTTCTGTCATCCAGCACACCAGCTCCTTTGAGAAGTCCGACTCTCTGGAGCAGCCCAGCGGCTTGGAAGGGGAAGACAAGTCTGCGGCCCCGTTCTCATCCCCCCCGCCTGCCCCTCACGGACGCTCGGCTCACTCCCTGCAGCCCAGGTTGGTCCGCCAGCCCAACATTCAAGTTCCTGAGATCCTGGTGACGGAGGAGCCTGACCGGCCAGACACAGAGCCGGAGCCACCCCCTAAGGAACCCGAGAAGACGGAGGAGTTCCAGTGGCCCCAGCGTAGCCAGACACTTGCTCAGCTCCCAGCCGAGAAGCTGCCACCCAAGAAGAAGAGACTGCGCCTGGCAGAGATGGCCCAGTCGTCTGGGGAATCCAGCTTCGAGTCCTCCGTGCCTCTGTCTCGCAGCCCGAGCCAGGAGAGCAGTGTGTCTCTGAGCGGGTCCAGCCGCTCAGCCTCCTTCGAGAGGGATGACCACGGAAAAGCCGAGGCCGCTGGGCCCTCGTCTGACACACGCTCCAAACCCTTGGGTACCCACATGCTGACTGTCCCCAGCCACCACCCGCATGCCCGCGAGATGCGGAGGTCAGCCTCAGAGCAGAGCCCCAACGTTTCCCACGCCACCCACATGACCGAGACACGCAGCAAATCCTTCGACTATGGCAGCTTGTCCTTGACAGGCCCCCCTGCACCAGCCCCAGCCGCCTCAGCCGCCCCAGCCGCCCCAGCCGCCCCACCAGAGAGAAGAAAATGCTTTTTGGTGAGACAGGCCTCCCTGAGCAGGCCTCCTGAAACTGAGCCGGAGGCTGCCCCCAAGGGAAGACAGGAGAGTGAGGAACCAAAGCCCTCATCCAGTAAATCTTCGGCCAAAAGCGCATTGCCCCCAATGTCCTCGGCAGCCACCTCTCACAGCGGGCACCCAGGAGGCAAGAGCCAGGTGCCGGACAGACCCACCCTGGAGGCCACTCCGCCCTACACAGAAGCACTGCAGGTGTTCCCCCATCCCGTCGCTCAGCATCCCCTGCATGAGAAACCGTACCTGCCCCCGCCTGTCTCCCTTTTCTCCTTCCAGCACCTCTTGCAGCCTGAGCCAGGACAGTCTTCAGAATTCTTTTCCACCCAGGCCATGTCCAGCCTGCTCTCCGCACCATACTCCATGCCCCCGCTTCCTCCCTCCTTATTTCAAGCACCCCCACTTCCTCTCCAACCTACTGTTCTGCACCCAGGCCAGCTCCACCTCCCCCAGCTCATGCCTCACCCAGCCAGCGTCCCCTTCCGGCAGCCCCCTTCGTTTCTCCCCATGCCATACCCTGCATCCTCGGCACTCTCTCCTGGGTTTTTCCTGCCTCTGCAATCCCAGTTCGCCCTCCAGCTCCCTGGCAATGTGGAAGGCCATGTGCCCCAGATCAAAACCAGCCTGGCCCCGCTGGCAACAGGAACCCCTGGCCTCCCGCCCAGCACAGAGTACAGCAGTGACATCCAGCTGCCCCCCGTGGCTCCCCCAGCCAGCTGCTCAGCACCCACGTCAGCCGCTCCGCTGGCCCTGCCTGCCTGTCCAGACACCATGGTGTCTCTGGTTGTGCCCGTCCGCATCCAGACCAACATGCCGTCCTTCGGGAGCGCCATGTACACCACTCTCTCCCAGATCCTGGTCACCCAGTCCCAGGGCAGCTCAGCAACTGTGGCTCTTCCTAAGTTTGAGGAGCCCTCATGCAAAGGGACGTCTGTATGCGGAGCAGATGTGTACGAGGTCGGGCCCAGACCAGCCGGGGTAAGTGAAGAGCAGGGCAGAGGTTTCCCGACTCCATACCTGAGAGTGCCGGTGACATTACCTGAAAGAAAAGGCACTTCCCTGTCATCAGAGAGTGTCTTGAGCCTGGAGGGGAGCTCATCAACTGTGGGGGGAAGCAAACGCGTCCTTTCACCAGCTGGCAGCCTTGAACTTACCATGGAAACCCAGCAGCAAAAAAGAGTGAAGGAAGAGGAGGCTTCCAAGGCAGATGAAAAACTTGAGCTGGTAAAACCGTGCAGCGTGGTGCTTACCACCTCCGAGGATGGCAAGAGACCAGAGAAGTCCCACTTGGGCAGCCAGGGCCAGGGCAGGAGGGAGCTAGAAACACTGTCCAGCCTGTCCTCGGATCCATCTGACCCAAAGGAAATGTCTCCCCTTCCCCACCCCTCATCGCCCCATGTGACAGCCCCAGGCCCAGAGGCTTTGAAGGAATATGCCCAGCCATCTGGTAAACCTCACCGAAGAGGGTTGCTCCCACTGAGTGTGAAGAAAGAAGATTCCAAGGAACAAGCTGACCTCCCTCCACTGGCACCTCCCAGCTCGCTGCCTCTGTCAGAAACGCCCCCCAGACCAGCCAAGTCACAAGAAGGTACGGACTCAAAGAAGGTACTGCAGTTCCCCAGCCTCCACACGACCACTAATGTCAGTTGGTGCTATTTAAACTACATTAAGCCAAATCACATCCAGCATGCAGATAGGAGGTCCTCTGTTTACGCTGGTTGGTGCATAAGTTTGTACAACCCCAACCTTCCGGGAGTTTCCACTAAAGCTGCTTTGTCCCTCCTGAGGTCTAAGCAGAAGGTGAGCAAAGAGACATACACCATGGCCACAGCTCCGCATCCTGAGACAGGAAGGCTTGTGCCATCCAGCTCCCGCAAGCCCCGCATGACAGAGGTGAGTTCAGCCTTGTTTTTCTTCTCCCCACTGAGCTTAAATGTCTTTGCTGAGTTTTTAAAGCCATAGTCTCCTCAAGTTCCGTTTGCAAAATGAGAGCCAGTTGAGTGGGCAGATTTCCTCTCTGTCAGCTGTGACTGGTAACCTTACAAGAAAACACTGGGTTTCTTTATCAGTGTCCCTCACATCATCAGACTACATACATTTCAATAAAGGGAGCTTTAAAGTGATCTCACTTTCCCATTAGCTTCTATTGTAAAATCAAAGTTATCGTCTCAGCCAAAAGACTGAGTTGGAAAATCTGGCTGATGGGAATGCCTATAGCAGTTTCAGGACTTAATGCCACTCCATCATATATTTCCCCCTTGTCCTGTTAGTCTTTACTGCTTTTCTTATTCTCCACATCTGCTATTTCCATTCTCTGGTACCACTTGAAATCTCCCCATTTTCAGAGAGTCTAGAATTTGACACAAACGACTCCTGAAATACTCTTTCTTCTCTGTGAGTAGGACAGCAAATAGAGCTTGGCTGCAGTATTCCTCCTTACCAGAAGGTGGCAGTGTCACTGCTCGACTCACCTGAGCTGTGTAGCAGTGCACAGCCCCGATAAAGGGCTCGTGTTTACTCCTCCGTTGCCTCTGACTTGAGCCTGCATCAAGAGGCATAAAATGAACTGATCCTTGCAAGTTCAGGAAGTTTGAAATTGGATAATTCCAAGTTTGCTTCAGACCAATGACATTTTGATCCTCTGACAAGTCCAGCCTAAGATTCAGGTCATGATGTGTTATGCTAACTTGGCATTTGTAGAATAACAATTGGTCTTATTGGTTGAGTAGCCCCACTGTGCTGGGCTCTGTTCTGGGCCCTTGAATTAGTCAATGTTTATCTCCACCTATGAGGTTACAGTACCATCTCCATTCTGTGGATGAGGGAACGGAGGGTCAGAAGATGAGAGAGGTCAAAGTCACCTGGCAAATATTTGGCAAACCCAGAATCTGAACCAAGACCTCTCTGATTCCACAGTCTATTTTTCTTTTTAATTCTTCTTCTTCTTTCAATTATTTGAGGAAAGAAAACCTTAAAAGTGACTGCAAATTTAAAGATGTTCATTAATGTGTCTTCAGACCAGATCCTTTGACCAAGTAAATCCCCTAAACTAAACTCCTATTGTAGATAAATGAACAAAACTGTGTTCTGTAACTTCTCCTATATTCATATCCTCTTCTCTTATTGAGTGACTTTTGTGCATTGAATTTGTCCTTGGCTTAGCTGGATATTTTCCACCAAATTGTTTCCCAAATTTATTCTCTAAATGTCCTTGTCAGTCTACAGACATCCTTAAATGAGGTCTCCGCTCTTACCATAAACATCATGAGTGATTTGCCCTCCAGTGTCTCTTACTGGCTATGGCTACTCCCAAGATGCTGTTGCAATTATAGTCATACTTAGAACTTATTGTGCACATACTGTGTGCCAGGTACCGTGCTCAACATTACTTTTATCCCCTAAAACCATGCTGCCAGTTAGGGTACTATATTGCTGTTTTATGGAAGAAGAAACCAAAGCACAAAGAAGTCAGGTAATTTGCACAAGGCCCCACACACAGTAAATGGCCTGTATTCTAAACTGGATCTCACTCCAAAGCTCTTTCGGATGGTGTGGACTGTCTCTCTGTTTTGATGAAGACCATATAAGAAGAAGGAAGAGTTAATTTGGCTTAAGTGACTTTGGCAATCATTTGCTTAAAATGCTGCTTTCCTAAAATGAGCTGAACCCTGGAAACTTTTTCCTGGAATATTCCATTTGATTCACTGGCATGTTTCCTACCAGAAGCACACCAGTCTGATCCATTAATGTAACTGCATGGTCCACTGCTTGATGCCTTTCTACAGTTATACCTCTCTCTAGTCTCTGCTTGCATATCCCCAGTGATGGGGAGCTCACAACCTATTAGTACAACCCAACCCATCTTTGGACAGTGCTTTAAGAAAGTTCTCTATTATGCTGAGCTGGCATTTGTCATCCCACAGCTCCCATTCTCTGTTAGCAGCTCTGAAAAGGCTCTTTGGGCTATATCAGCATTTTAGAGCTCTTCCTAACCATCTTTGTGCTAGTCCAGGTCACCCAGTCAGGTTTAAGTGTGATCACAGGTTTTTTTTTCTATGTTTAAGTCCAGGAGAAACCCAATCTTATATAAGAGTTCACTTTGCAGTCACATTTCCTTCCCCTTTGCTCTCCTTCCTTTCTTCTCCTTGGATCATTTTGATAACATGCACTATTGCAAAGAGATTAAGAACAAGGACTCTGGTGCCAAATTGCCCAGATTTGAATCCCACGACCTCACTTACTAGCTGTGTGACCTTGGGCCAGTTACTTAACCTCTCTGGCCTTGGTTTCCTCATCTGTAAAATAGAGATAATAATAATACTTAGTTCATAGGACTGTCGAGATAATTAAATGAGTTAAAATATGCAAAGTGTGTTTAGAATAGTGGTTGGCACATTGGCGCTCAATAATCATATTTACTGTAGTTATTCACATTGTTATCATTAAAAGCTAAAGTGGATCCCTGGTCCCCCTGCTCAGTTCCAATAACGTTTCCTGGTAGACTGGCTCCTGCCTCTAAAACTAGCGTCCTCCAACTTGGCCCAGACAGCACACCTGGTTGTGAGACAGAAGTCATCCCTCAACCTGGGGGAGGCCTCTTGGTCGTTCCATGGCTGGCTCAGATGGCAGGTCAAGATGGAATGAAAATAGTGTGCTCTGGAACTCATGGGTATGACATAAAGTCAGCTGCCTTCTGCCAAACCAGCGGTCCAAACCCTCATTTGGTTTCCAATCCCCATCTCCAAATCTGAAGAGACTGTGGGGGTCACTGAGTCATAAAAGCTGGCCCTGGAGTGAATCTTCAAGATAGTCTAAATCCCCTTAGTCTCTGAAGCCCAGAGAGGTGAAGTAACCCACCCTGGGGAGGCTCAGCATGCAGTGTCTTACGTGGTGCTAGAACTCAGATTCTCTGATTCCCAGACAGCTACCTTTCTGCCCCTTATAGGGGCAGATGTGGTGGCTGGCATGGGGACTGCGGTTCTTAGATTGTCCAGCGCCAGAAGACATGTTTTCTCCTCCCACCAGCTGTAAACAGTGCAGTTCCTCATGACCTTAATGACAGTGGCGTGAAGTAGGATAGAATTTCACTGCTGGCCCCAGCCCCCAGCCCAGCATCGCTGCTCCCTATTCAAGGGAGCACCACCCCCTGCTGTCATTAGCGAATCTAGGGGACATGTTCTCACCCAGCCAGCTCTCCCCACCAAGGCCTGCAGCTCTTGAAGTAAGTGGGCTCCCTGAGATGCACACCCCTCGGTGGGCAGCACAACCTCTCTGTGCCCGGCTCTAGGGGCTTCTAGAGGGGCAGGGCCCTCCCTCAGGAGTCCTGCACTCTGCTCCCAGCAATGCCCTTAACTTGCTGCACGACCTTGACTTTCTGATCTGTAAAAGAGAATTGGGCTAGTTAATCTCCAAAGGTAGAATCTTCCTTTATTTATTCGACAGTTCCTCACACGCCTTCTCTGAGGCTGATGTGATGGAGACTGAGATGAGGACCTGTCCCCAGAAGCCCCTAGACAAGTGTGAAAGAAAGAGCAAGCTCAGCTCTTGTGGAAAGGCCTGGTCTTCCCCTGAGTAAGACCAGTCAGAGTCCCAGTTCTGACACTGACTCTCCATGTGGCCTTGAATAAGAGATTCACCTCTCTGGGGATTGGCGCCCCTCCTTCTGTAAAGTGGGGTTCATAGCACCCCTTCACTAGGTAGAGTGAAGACAAAGTGAGCCATGATGAGTGTCAGTGTGCAATGCCATCAAAGCCATCTTTCCATGACAGCGGTTTAACCAGCCATGATTTTGTCATTCCTGCGGTGGGCCAGGTTCACCTCCCTTCGCTGGTTTCCCCGGAAGCCCAGAAAGAGATAGCTAGAGTGGAGAAGGAAGAGGAGAAGCGAGGGAAGCCGGAGGAGGACGCTCCTGCCTCCAAGAGAGGGGAGCCGGCCAGGATCAAAATCTTCGAAGGAGGGTAAGAATCATGTTTGGTTTGCAATGTCTGCTTTGTGTGGAGGAAGAGCTCGCGCCTGCCTGCGGGCTTGCGGAGTGGTACTATCTGTGTTCAGAGGCGGTGAGCATCACAAAGGCCACGGCTGTGCCCACAGGTGTCCTGGGCTTCCAGCTGTGCCATCAAGGAGATGCTGTCTTTATGGGACTTGCAAGCCAATTCTGTTTAAGAATGCCATTCCTTGGTGGAGGGGGAGGGTGCTGGGTGTGTGCTGGGGACCAGAGCCATCTGGGTCCTCCCCCAGCCCCTCTTTTCTCAGATACTGCATTGGGGTTGATAATGAGTCTCCTGTCCAGACCGCTGTTTACCTTGGTGTATGTTTCCCAAAAGTCATCTCTGTCCTCTGTCCTGCCTAAGAACCACCATGGCAGGCCTGGTGTCCCACGGGGGAACTCTGGACCTGCCAACTGGGCTCTTTGCTGGGCTGATAGCTCACTGCAGCTGCATACACCGGCCTCTGTTTTGAGTGCCGGGGGTCCAGGATTCATTGGTTGGTAAATATTTAGAATAATACCTCTGGTTTTTCACCTCTGGTTCTTGTCTTTGGAAACCTAATGATTGAAACATCTCAAGACTCACAACTGTGGGGCTCTCTGGACTCCAGCAGGCTGCCTCGTTTCAGACCTGCTTTGTGGATGTGTTATGTGAGCTGTGTTCCGTGTGACCACATGTGTGATCCCTGGGACGTGGGTGTCTGTAAGCAGGTCCAGTGGTGTCTGTCTCAGGGTCCTGTGTCTGTGTCCCCAGTGTGATCAGTGCAGCTCTCGTCCCACTCAGTCCTGAGGGTCAACATCATGGAGGAAAGCCTGCCTCCCCAGGAGGACGGTCCCCAAGAACCCCAGCCAACAGGGAATGTCACTGGGGCCTGTGACCCTCTGGCACCTGCAGGTGCCTAACTCACAAGGTCAACGTGGAAGGTGGCGGATCCCTCTGTAGGGCTGGGAGAGCAGATGCTGCCAAACTCCCCAAGTCCACCAGTGGGCATCCTCAGGTGGCACTGACCAACAGAGGGGGTATTTGGAAATGGAACTTGGGGGTTTGGGGTGTCACACTAATAGGGAGAGGGTCAGAGATGACATCCTGCCGTGTCAGAGACACGGCCCCCTAGGGGAGAAATACCCTGCCCTGAGTTCCAGTAACCACTCCATTGAGAAATGCTAGACCAGAGGCTTTTCGAAATACTAACCCACTTTCCATCTGGAGATGGACAGGTTTCCTCTTCTGCTACTTGGTTAGAGCGCCCCCGTGTGTCTTCCTGTTCTCATATCATCGGGTCCTCCCATGCCACATGAGACTTCATGCAAAGATTGGTGCGTCTGGTCACAGTGACTTTCCTTCTTCTCCCTGGCTTCAAGGACCATCTGGGGGGCCCGGGGGCAGCTAAGTGTTAGCTGGTGTGCAGGAAGGGGTTTGCTTCTGCCCTGAGAGGCAACCGCTTCCAGACTGCAGATCTGATTCCCTGAGACGGCTCCCTGCTGCCCTCGTTCCCCTGGGGAAGCCTGAGCCCCGAGAAAGGCAGCAGGCAGGAGCCTGTCCCCATCCTGGTTAGTTCACAGCTCCAGCTGCAGGCCAGAGTCTCTGCCACACGGCCTTACTTCAAGTGAAAGGTGAAGGTTTCCCCTGAGCCCCCTTCTCTTCTTCCTACAGCCTGGGCATCGGTCCCTCCTCCAGCCCACCTCACCCCACGCCTCCATGCCATTCAGGTCGTCACTTAATCCCCCTGCTCTGTTTCAGAATCCCCCTCTCTTTCAGGGTTCGGCATCCCTGCCCCAGAACATCTCTCCTACTTACTTACCTCTGTTTCGCTCAGACTCTCCCCACACCTCTCCAGCTCTGCCTCCCACCTGTAAAAGGGGATAATTACACGCGTGGTGGATGCCGGGTACCTCTGCTGCCCTGTGTGAAGGCTGTGGGTCATGGTGCTGACAGATGGGCATCAGAGCGTTTTTTCACAGTCATGCGCATCTCTGTTATCTCCCTCCAGGATGGTCCCACTCTTTTCCGTCCACTGAGGATGAGGAACATCACCCTCACTCTCTCTGCTTGTCGTGTCTAATTTGAGCACTTCGGGGGTCAAGTAGTGCCACGAGGCAGATCATCTCCCACAGCCCCACTGTCCCACCTGGGCCCCCGCTGCATCTTCACCCCCACTTCTAGGGACCCCTCAGTATCCCTGGTTCTCTTAGGGCTGGTATCACCCCCTGAGGAGTATTTAGAAATGTGGACTTGATAGTTTTGGGTTGTTGACTAAGTGGGGGCACCTCCAGTACTTCATGGACAGAGTCAGAACTGCAACCATCCTATAACCAACCACAGAACCACTCGTCCCACCCAAAATGCCAAGGCTGCCCTCACCCCGGAAACACTGAATTCATCTTTCAAGCACACCCACCTGAAGTCACCGGGATTTTGCCTTAGACCCATTTCTTCCTTTTTTAATTTCTTTTTTTTTTTTTTAACACAGCAAGCATTTATATTTCACTCCAGTACCTGTTTGACAGGGGTGTGCAATGGGGTTCTGTTCCTGGGAGTGACTCAGAGATCCGGGCTGACAAGAGGCTGAGAGCGGGAGAAGGGGCGGTGGTGAATTGTGCACTGGCTCTTCAGGCTTCCACCAGGAAGCTTCTGCTCCCATCTCATTGGCCAGAGCAAACCGCATGGCCTCACCGGGCTCCCCAAGAGTGGGGAAGCACAGCCCAGCCATGTGCACGGGAGGATCGGGGAGGACCGGGGAGGACCGGGGAGGACCCGAGCTGTTTGGTAGACAGCACCGGATACTCCAGACATGCAGCACACGCCTGGAACTTGCTGTTTTGACACCCCAAGGATTTTGAACTGTATCCACGTCGATCCATAGAGATCTAATTCACGGCCATGAGCCAGTAGACCAGAGAGGGAGAGTAGATTCTGGATGAGTCTAACATTCATGAGTCTTCTCTTCACTAGTCTCCTTACTCTTCTTGGCCTCCAACCGAGCAGTTGATCAATTAATCAATCCAACCAGGAGGAACTGTTTATTCAGACCCTTATGGGTGCTCTATGCCGGGAGATACCTGGAACCAAGGGTTTTGCTGTCAAGGAGGCTGGCTCAGGTGCAGCACCAGGCCCGGTGCTGAGGTGTGGACCGCTGGTGCTGAGGTGCTCACAGCAGGTGGGGACCCCTGGGGCTGGAGTAGCCGGTGAGGTCTTCCCGGAAGGGACGGGCTGGGCTGGAGGGTGTGCGAGACCAAGACAGGCAGAGAGGAAAGGAGGGTCGGTCGGCAGTCTGAGTGTAAAGGCGACGTGTGCACCTGGTCATTCTGACCGGTTTCTTCTGGTCTTGGGTGTTCTCCCCATTGACGTCACCCACCTCCTTGGCGTCAAACCTCATCACTGTGCCAAGGGCACCAAATCTGGGTCTCCAGCTACGATCTCACTCCTGTACTACAGACCAGTGCTTCTCATGCCTCCTGGGCACCTTCGCCTGCGAGACTAGGGCACCTCAAACTCAGCGTGTGCTGACCAAGCCCTCTGTCACCAGCAGCATCCCCCTCTACATCCAGAGCCCAGATGATGCACCAGCCCTTCACACTCAAAACCTTAGCATCATCGTGAACTTAGCGTCATCCCCCTTCCAATTAGCCCCCAAATTCTGGTGTCCGCACCAAGTGGTCCATGACTCAGAGGTAATCTCTCTTCACTCCCTGTGCCAAGGCTCTGGTCTCGCTCTCTCCAGGCCCCATGTTGCTGCCACTGAGTGTCTTTGATCATGGTTGTGCCTGTGTCACACCTCAGTCCAGAGCCTGCTGTGGCCGCCTTGCTGGCAGGATCCAGTCAAAACAGCCCGATCTCCCTGGTCCCACAGTCTCACCCGCCCCTGTTGTGCTTCGCCTTCTGTGCCTGCTGGGCCCTGGCCATCGCTGAATTCTACCCACCTCCAAAGGGCAGCACTCAGCCCTCCTCTGCCTAATCTCTCGGGTCCCTCCACACTCCTGAGTTCTTTGCGTCCCTTCTAGGAAAACACTGGCGCTGAAATTCTCTCCTCCTGGAATGAAGTCCTGCCTTGGCTTGGGTCCCAGGGCCCTGCTTTGTCCTCATTATGCACCAGTTTCTGTTTATGGCACTGATTTCCGGCACACGGCCCCCTCCCTGCACTCCCCGTCGCCTTCGCACCTGGGCACGGCCTGCCTCCCAGCCAGCCTCTGGGAGTGCCCATCAGGACGTCCTGGCCTTCTCACCCAGCACCTCTGCGTTTGCCTCGGCTGCTTCAGAAGAGCTCTTTTGTTACAGAATGTCGTTTTCACACATACAAAGTTATCAAAGTTACATGTTACACTGAGAGTCATGCCTGTACCGTCCTAGCTGAAGTTCACTTGCTGCAAGGAAAGCTGAGGACTCAGCCCAAAGGGCAGGTGTGGAAGAAGAGACTGGGATGGGTAGGAAATACTTGGCTGCCGGAAGTGGGCCTCCAGGCCCAGCCAGGGTGGGAGGCCCTAAGAAGATGGCTGCAGGCAGGGGGCGAGGGATGGGTTGGGTTTAGAGAGGCAGCCCAGCCTCCGCCTGGACTGGAATATCGGGCAGGGGACAGAAGCCCAGCTGTGCACTGGGCCAGCGAGGGTGGGTAGGGTGACTCACGAGTACGGGGTAGCCCAGGGCTGCCCCCTGAGCCCTTTAGGCCTTTAACAGAAGGTGTCCATGCCAGACCCGCCACTTGCAAACAACAGGACTCAGCTGCTGAGCTGGGACAAGACCATCTGTGCTCCCACTGTGGGGGGGAGGGGAGGTACTGAATCCCATCTCTTCCCAGCTCCCCCGGTACACCCCAGTTCATCACTCCAGCCACTGCCTCTCCCTGGCCCATTCAGTTTAGCACGCCTGAATTTAAGAGTTTCCCACCTAAAAAATACTCCTGTAACTAAAAGGCTTGGATCGCCAGATTTTTCTGTTTTTCTTTAAAAGAAAAATTCCAGAAGGAGACAACTGTA